ATACTCTGCTACTTAATTGATATCTAACAAGCTTATAGGAAATTACAAAACCAACCTATATAACACAAGAACCATACAGAGGCTACTATTCTCACAGCAGCTTTTCTCTAAACAGTCAACTACAACATCCAACCTTATTTTGAGCATTCTTTATTTGGTTTGGATTTTGTTTATTACTGGGAACGCTCCAATTTTTGTTCCTATCACATTTTACATATATTTTTATGCCAGATAACTTACTTCATGAAACAGAAATTGCCAGTAGACCCAACACATACAACAGAATGTGTCCCTCATACCCTCACAGTTGCCCTTAGACAGATGACTTTTTTAAAATCAAACAATTTAGATTTAACATATTGAATGTTTCTAATGATGTAAACTGCAAGGTAGTATGAAATGATGCTGCAACTAGTAGCACAAATTAGTTATTAACTGTGAATTAAAAGTCTGCCATCCAGTTGTATAGTTCTACCTGCCATGTGAGACAAATTTGGATACCACTGTACAATCATTTTCATTGTATATTACTATCATACAGGCTTTTAAGAACACTGCAATATGGATATGAACATTTACAACTGCTTCTTTAAAAGAGAAAAAGCTATTTCTTTCCAGAGGAAACCAATAGAATTATGCCATGGGATGACTGCAGAAAGAGTAAAGCCCAGCTAGATTGTTGTCTAGCATACATATACCCTCTCCTTTCACTAATGGTACACAGGAACTATTGCAGCACTAAACTAGGTAAACTAAGTGACTATCAAAGTGTGGAAAAAGACCCGAGAAATCCAGTTCCACTAGCTATTAGTGACTAACTGAAAAATTGACTCTACATAATGATTGTATATGTAATTCCACCTATGTGTCAAATGCCTTACTGACCTGCTGTTGGAGGCGCACCGGGAGAACTCACACTCTCACTTGTCTCACTGACAGAGCAGTAGCCTGGATCTGAAGAGCAAAGTTGTAAGTCGTTCATTCTCAATGGATATTAATTTTCTTCCAGAAAATTTCTTTACCTTTAGTTTACAAACATAGAAAAAGCATTATTCTGGAAAAATCAGTAGAATTTTTACTTCTCAACTGTGTAGGGCACATTCTAATGACCTCTCTTACTAGCATAACAGCTACTTTGAGGATACATAACAAAATAAAACAACAATGCCATTTGTGACATCTAGTGGCAAAGGTGTAATATGTGGAATGGTTTCAGTGGCAAAGGAGAGTGTGGTAATAATACTCCAAGCTCATGGAACTCCATGTCGGTGAATATTAAGAATATTAATAAATTCCAGGTAATGAGGACTGCCAGTACTACAACAATTGTCCAAAACTCAAGTCCAAATATTACACCTACTTCTTAGCTATTGTTATCAATATTTTCTCTTTTCATGTTTTTGCTACTCATAGTGTTTTATTTTTATGACACACTAAGTCTGTATCAGTTTGTGGCTACTTGAATATAATCAGAGAACATAAGAGGAAGCCTGTCACCATATGCAATCAACACAGTATTCACATGTAATTAACAAAGCAAGAATTTTTGGGGAAGAGTAGTGTTTTTTTTATGAAAAGCCTCAAGTTGGGGGGGAGGGAGGGAGGGAGAGAGGGAGAGAGGGAGAGAGAGAGGAAGAGAGGGAGAGAGAGAGGAAGAGAGGGAGAGAGAGAGGAAGAGAGGGAGAGAGAGAGGAAGAGAGGGAGAGAGAGAGAGGAAGAGAGGGAGAGGGAGAGGGAGAGAGAGAGAGAGAGAGGGAGAGGGAGAGAGAGAGAGGAAGAGAGGGAGAGAGAGAAGAAGAGAGAGAGAGAGAGAGAGGAAGAGAGGGAGAGAGAGAAGAAGAGAGGGAGAGAGAGAAGAGAGAGAGAGAGAGAGAGAGAGAGAGAGAGAGAGAGAGAGAGAGAGAGAGAGAGAGAGAGAGAGAGAGAGAGAGAGAGAGAGAGAGACAAATCATGAAAAAAAAAAAAACTACAGACACACAGACACAAAGACACAGACACACACACACACACACACGTGCGTATATGAGAGACCCCAATATCTATTTTTCTTTCTAAATCATATAATGCATATATTCACATACACTCCTCATTACCATCCATCTAAATATCACTGACCAAATGCTGCAAATATACCCTATTATAGTTTTAGCTTGTTGCAACCTATAAGTGTTTCATCCCAATACCAAGAGAATTATGGAGTTAGAAAACAATTTTTTTCTTTTCTTTCTTCTTCTCTAAGTACATACTTCAAAACTGATAAAAAAGGTGGATGAATAAGGCCTTCTAAGAATGGCAAGAGCAAGCATCATACCTGAGCTGAGGGTGTCGGTCTTCGTATGAGGTGCAGGGGGGTGAGAGTCAAGGGAGGCACCGCTCTCCAAGGACACTCTTGAGGCACTGTCAGCATCTGCATGGGGTTGAATCCAGTAATCAAGGGGTTAGGGAAGCACTGCAATGCTTTATTATGAAAATAATTGGTATAATAAACCAAGTATATGCTTAGATAAAGAACATAACTTATAGATATCCCTAAATTAGTACATTAACTTGGTTACATATTGTACATTACTTCATCAGTTAGATAATTAAAATAAAATTCATATGGCATTCAACAATTTTGAATTTTCCACTTAGATGAGGCCCACCTACCACAACTACTTAAACTTGAAGATAAAAGGAAACTAACCTGTTAGGCACTTGTCCACCTCATCCAAAGATAATGATGATTTTCTTCTTTGCGAACGTTCTAGACCTGAACGTTTGAATGCTGCAACACCAATGACGACATTCCTGCAAAAAAAAAGGGAAAAGAGCCTTACATAAGACAAACAAACCAATTCCCCTGAAGCCACACACCAGCCTTGCTAACAGAACCTGCTTCATGGAACACAAGATGTGATAGTGAGTGAACAATGAGTCACCTGAGTTTTTTCCAGAAGAGGTTAGAATGAGTCCACTTGCTCTCCATGACTGCCCTGTTGTAGTAGCCGTAGGTGATGGCGTTGGGTGTGATGCCATGCTGCCTCATCTCACACAGGACCTTCACAGCAAGGATGGGCTGTGAGTATAACCCACACAGCTGCATCATTACCCGGTAGCTTACCTGCAGAGGAAACAACAAAAGTTTACTGGCATGCAACTATTCTGAAAGATGTAATGCCTAAATAAATATGCAAACAGGTCAAATTTAGCACTAGGATGCTCTCTTTTACTCTTTACTCTTTCTCACACACAAATGCTTGCTCTATCTCTCATTTATTAGTCTCTTTCTCCTTTCCTGTCTCTCTATTTACCTCGTCTGCCTGTGAGAGGTTGAGCTTCTGCATGTTGGTTAGGATCTTGAAGGCAAGTTGCAGGAATCTGGCCTTATGGTGCTGTGTTGTTGCAAAGGCTGGGAGATGCGTGAACCAAAGGCTAGGACAGAGGGAGGTAACTGTCACTTTAATTTTGTATTGAAAGTACGAGGAAAAATATAACATTTGTAAATCAGTGAATATTATATATAAACAATGCTGCAAACACAAGAATGAAAATATTTGAAAAAGACAAAAACAGAATGTGGACACTTATTGAAAATCAATATTTTTTTCTGGACTGTGAGGGAAATAGTGAAAACTAGAGTAGATTTTTCATGAAAAAACTTTGTCTACATGAAGTGAAACATCAATGAGGTAATATTCCTTATCCATTGTCAAATAAAAAAAGAAAAAAAAAATACATTTTTTTTTTCCTAATCAAAACAGCAATACAATTGCAGCATGCCTATACCACCTAAGATAAACAGCTTTACTGGTAGCTTACCTATAACACGTAGATAGTAAACACTTGGCCCATAAAATGGGTGTCTGCGCATGCCTTAAGGCAAGTTTCTGTGCCGACTTGACCTCATGCTTTGTGCGGCGGGCCAGAGGAGAGGCAGGGGTGGCTTGTGGCTGCTTAACTTGGGGAGGAAGGACTGGCTTTGGTTCCAGCAATGGAAAGAGCTCGGGTTTTAACTTGGGAAATCCCTGATTGGAAAAAAAATGAGAGGCATGCTATGAAAAAAATCCTTCTGAATTCCTTATAAAAAGAGGAAAACAAACAACAAAGAAAGAAAGAAAAAAAAAAAACCTGATGTGACTCATATAAAACATGAATGTCCATTATGTTATATCTATCAAAAGACTATGTTACAGGTTTGCCTTTATGTGATGTTTGATAGGCAACAAGGAAAAAAATAATTGACAGCTTACAAGCTGAAACGTTTTTCTGTAGATGTCATTAAAAATTATCATCATGCAGGAGATCAGCAACTAGAAAAAAAGGCTGTACTGCATGTGTTCAGAACAAATGTCACTTTTCATTTTTTTAAAATAAACTTTACACAAAAACAAAATATAACAGAATGGTGGCAAGAACACTCTTTGACTTTCCTACAAAATGGTCCAAGCTAATGCTGGGAAAAAAAAAAAAAAATATATAAAAAAAAAGTAGAAGGGCTCTACACAAAGAAGAGTGAGCCATCTCCCTGCATTACCTTCTTACTCTTGACACTGTAATGTCTCTCGAAAGAGAACTCTTTTCTGGGTCAAACAACCCTATGACATTTCGCGGATTTGTGGAACGTCTGGGAAGATTAGGGAAGAATCTTGGTCTCAAAACTAGAACCAGAACTTACATTGTATGAATAGGTCATGCCCTCAGGGAGACTGATGGGCTCTGGTGGTGGGAGAAACAGGGTGTGCTCACTCTGGGCCGGCTCTAACTCCAGCAGTCTGATGGTGGTGTCATCTTCTAAGACCTGGGAGAGCGAAGAAACAAATAGGAAATGTCCACTTTTAAATCGCCAAATTCTCTCCATTACTTTCTTGATCATTACTAATCATCTCCCTGCTTCTATCCTCTTTGACAATCTTACTACCAAATTCCTTCTAGTAGCTATCATTCCTGCCACACAACTGCTCAAACTACCAACCTTTTCTGCACAGTCATCAAAGAAGGCTAGAGAGGCATCCTTGTCTGACACAAAAGATCGTTCTTCAATGAACTTGCTGAACATCTGGGTATTAACCATCAGCTGGTAAAATTTGTGATAGTTCTTATCTCTTGATTTGACAAAGGCTGAAAAACAAGAGAAAGGCTGATTATAGATTCAGTAATATTTAACCTATTATCCTATTTAGTTTTGTTTGATTTATTTTGTCTACACATGAAACGTTTACAAGTACCTGGTCAACAAGGAATCAATTTACCCCATTTCTTGAATTATCAGAAAAATATTTTTATTTCTATTACTAGTGCTACCGAAAAGTATTTGGCATCATTATCATCATAAGCATTATTACCTTATTATTAACAACAACATGTTAAAAATAAAAACTACTCTTTAAGAAAATTCAGTGCACATAAACATACAGTCCTGGTGTCAATTGCCTAAAGGGATTATTACTGTTAACCCATTGCCGCCAGGGAAAATGAACAAAAACTGGGGAAAATGCAGTGCCTATTTTCTATACTTTTTTGTTAAATGTCTGCCCATAGATGGCTCTGTTAGCGCCTGATTTGAAATGGCGGGAAAAACGTATTTTTCACTAGTGCCATGAATATCGATGGTGTTATTTTTATTATAAACATTATGATTTTTATAATGTTTTTTAACATTAGTAACAGCAAAATAAGATAACGTAAAATATTTTGTAAAGCAAAGAAAAGGGTGAACGGGCGAGACAGGCGGTACTTGTAACTGGCTCATTGGTAATTTAGTACAAGTGTAGCCATCTATGTGTAAAAACAATCCAACAAGTAATCTCACAGTGGGCATGGCATGGCATGCCCGTCAGCAATGGGTTAATGAAATCTTGCTTTTTCTGATAATTTTTGTTTGGTATTAACATTACAAATTTATTAGTTGCAACTTTGAAAAAAAAATTCCTATAGGTTCCATAATAAATTAGATTACAATAAATTCTTGACACTTTTTTGAATGATTTAAATTCAGATTTCAAACTAAAAGCTATAATGCAATGTTGTTGATTAAAATATATATATATATATATATTTCTTTTTTTTGAGAAATGTGATAGCCTTTGCCATGGTATAAGAATATTTGAAAATGACTAGAGTAATTTTTGAGCCTGGCAGGCTATGAGATTAATTATTATAAGAGCCCTCAGTGCTTTACTGATCAACACAACTGGGTCTGTGTGGAGTCAGCTGCTTAAGGAAAAAATCAGAAGCACAGGAAACACAAAATTATCCAGCTCTCTATGCTCTTAGCTGTGGCATAACCAACATCTTATGAAATGATGCTAGAGGCTTTATGCCTACTTTTGAAGGGCCATTTCTCATCATTGAAACCAATCAGGGCCAAACAAGTGAACAACTGTTTAGCTTACACAACTCAGAGTAGGGTTATCAGTGAATAATGTGAAGTATCATAATTCTATTATGCAACCATAAATCAAATCAAATGCAATTTTAAGTGCATCTAGTCATTTTACTATTTGCAGCATGATTTTGCATTTCTTTTTTCTGAGTCCAATCTACCTAACATTACAATAATCCATTCAGAATAGCCTTCTGGCATTCATTTACCATCTATGTCAAAGAGTGAGGAGGTGTCACATGCTGCCCCTGCTTTAGCGGAGACTATAGGCAGGAGGTAGTGGCTATAACCCTTCAGGATGGTTGCTGTGAAGCGCAAAAAAGCCTCCTGAATCTCCACATCCAGTTGTTGCTGAAAAGAAGTTTGGAATCTGATATCAAGATACCCAGAATGACCTTCACTCATAATTGTAGTACTTTGTAAGTATTTAAAAATAATTCCTAGGATTACTTAATTTCCAGTATATATATTTTATAAAGCTTAGAGCAGATGTTGCATGTTATAATCTATAAAACAACCTACGCCATCAGTCATGGTGGGTAGGAATAGGAACCTGAGCATGGAAATAGCATCCTCCCTTGGAGCTGGCACAGTTCCAGTCATGGCTCATGGACATTACATTCCACACTTATTTATTGATGGAAATAATGCAAAAGCCCCTTCCTATATAACAAATGAATCTAATCACCCTCCAAGAGCTTTGTGCACTTGTGGTATCTTTCCTGTTACCCCAGACTTCAGCCAAAATGCTGATGATGCCAATTTCGTACACCCCAGCAAAATATTTCCTTGATGGCATTTCATGTCACCTACATCAAAAGCCAAAATTTTTCATGATGTGATGGTCACGTCACATATTTTGTAGGGGTTAAAGATATATATATAAATGATAGTTGAGATATCAATTTATTTACCGAAACTTGAGAAGTGCTGTACTATTAAAAACTATTTCATAATGAAATATGAAAGGAGTTTCTCAACAAAAAACTACAACTCAATTGAATCAACAAAAGACAATTCTTCCTCCCTTACCTCTTTTCTTTTTATCTTAAAATCTGTGTCAATGCCAGGTTCTGTCTTCTGAGCCTTCAGATGCATCTGGAGCAATTTCTCAAATTTGTAGATTTTCTCACAGAGGCTTTCTAGTGAGGCACGCAGGGTGCGCGCAGGACGCCGAGGAAGGAGTTTGGTTATGAGGAACTTCTTGTCGTCTGGTCTGAAAGTGAGAGAAAAATATTGACATTCTCATAACTTTTTATAAAAATCATGACAATCTTTCTAAACAGAAAATAGCATTATTATTAATTAATTCCTCTCATCAAAATAATGAGAAACAAACATAAAAGCAAAACTAAAAGAAAACAAAGGAGAGAGAAAAAGACTTTGAAAAGTGAACCAAACTACATTCTACTTACACAGACATGGCTCCCGTATCCAAGTCGATGCAGATTACATCGGTTGGAGGGTGATAGAGATCAAAGAAGCGCGAGTCAAGGCCAAGGAGGAAAGGGATGGGGGCATTCAGGAAATCAGAGAGACCCAGGGGGCACAGGGGGATGTAAGGGCACTGCCAGTGGAATGGAAAGATAATCTGCAAAGAAAAAAAACATATATTAGTGACCTGAAAAAGAAACACTGCTATACAAATCAAACTGAGCTTTGCAAATGTCATTTCTCTTCCCATTCTTCTTTCATTTCACAATCTTCACCCCATTGTCTACCTTAAAATGTAATTATTACCTCTCTATCACTAAGATAGTGAAAAAGAAAAGGTATGCTAAAATTACCACTTTCAGGAGAACTCTTATCTTTCATCATAAGAACCCATTCCTCCCTATTCCTTGGTGCTTACCATGGTGATAGCTTCTGCCACAGCTGTGAGCACATCTGGCCTGAGGGAGTGCAAGAGAATCTTCTGTTCAGTGAGTGCAAAGAGGAGCACAAGGAGACAGCCTTCAGGACGCAGAGTCATCACCAGCTGACGGAACTTTGCTCCACTGGAAAGTCAAAAGTCATATTTTCATTCCTTACACCCATGCTTCCATGCAATATGTAAAATGTTTGAGATTAAAAAAATCAATATACAACTTTCAAAAACAATATCACATAATTCAATAACAGAGCTTTTCAGATTCAGAAAAATATTTACCTGAGATTAATGGGCAAATCCTCTGGCTGGGCAAGGGAGATGCGTTCTTTGGCATCTAACTGGATGAGTATTCTTGGCTTTCGAGCACTTGGAAATGGAACACACTCCACAAAATGGTGTACATACCTAAAACAAATGAATCAATACAAAATATATTAAGAAATAAGGATGTGCAGAAATGGTTGGTGATGAATGAATGGATGCAACATGTTCAAATAACATCAGCATTTTAAAAATAATTATCATCTCCAACTTATCAACTTATTAACAGTTAATAACAACCAAGTTAAGTGCACCTTCCACATAATGGGAATGATGATGATGATGATGATGATGATGATGAAGATAATAGTAAAACAGAAAATACAGATTATTCAGGAAATACTAACAGAACATAAAACAAAAGGAAAATAAATGAAAGGTATCTATATATGATAATTTTTAATATGAAAAGCTAGCCTCTGTAGGTGTGGTGTTCATGACACATATCTTGAATGTATCTGGAGCCTTGTATTCTATAAAGAGTGTGAAATCAAAAGTAAAATAATGATAATTTTTTTTAGTATTCATAATACATAGTTTGTATAATATATCTTTTAGTTATGTAAATTAATGAATCATAAATTGCAACAACCTTATTAACATGAATACTAGCTCCAAATTGATGGTTGTTAGTTGCCCAGGTCATAAGTAGGGAGAGGCTATGATTTCAGACAGGCCTATATGAATATTTAATTATATTTGATTTTCGAATTGAATCACACTTACAGACCAGTTGAAAAAAATACAAACACAGATAAACAGACACACACAGACACACACACACACACACACACACACACACACACACACACACACACACACACACACACACACACGCACACACACACACACTCTCTCTCTCTCTCTCTCTCTCTCTCTCACACTCACACAAACACTCACACTCTCTCTCTCACACTCACACACACACTCTCTCACTTACCTCTCGATGGGTACATGATGTGGTCCAGTGTTAGCCATGGTGTGCAGATATCTTAAGAACTTATCAAAAGTATCAAAAAACGGCCACCGTGAGAGGATGCAGATGCACTTGTTGGTGTGCACTATGTTGTTCCTCCCAAAGTGCTCATTCAGCTTGAGGGCCTCCCTCTGCTCATCTGTAAGGAGCTCATGAGGGTACTTCTCATAGAAGGAGACAGCTGCTCCATACACCTTCTCCACAGCTTCTGTGTTTCCACCCCCAGCTGTGACTGTGAGAACAAAGGTAGAGAAGATTGGCTGTGGCTGAGCAGACTTAGCTGGCCATGACTCTAGGGTGGCCCCCATGGGTAGACAAAAAAGGGCCAGGTCTGTGGGGATGGGGAACCCAGGGTAGTGGTTGCTGGGGTAGTGGTCCAGGATCCCTGCCATGTATGCAATATAGTTGGACCTATGCATCGATTTCTTGTAGCAGACATAGATGTCAGACCCAACCTGGAAAAGATTACAGAAGTTTGTGCTTAAAAGTATTAGAAAGAAAAATCATGAATATCTACAACAGTTTAACCATATCTTTGCACTGATATATTACTGAACTTTAGACACCACTCACCATGGTCCCCTTATTGAGGTTGCGGTCTATGGTGCAATAGGAGTGAGGAGCCTGCTCCCCCCGGCTTGTCATGATTACACAGATGTCTGAGACGACCAGTTCATTGCAGGCAGAGCGCTCACTTGCTCTTCTTTAAATGGAATAAGAAAGCAATTCAGATACTTTTCTTCATATAAAAAATTAAAATGCATGAAAACCGTTCAAGTACCTTTGCAATCTATAAATTACAGAATTTCTGGTATTACATATAGCATTTTCTATAAACCTCTTTAGGAAATTAGATAAGAAATACATTTGTTCTTATAACATTCACAAATAAGTAGCAAACAAGGTTGGCAGTTGATTATTTGACATCTGAGTAAAATATAAATGGCAGCTAAACAAAAAATTCACCTGTATGTCATGTATGTGGTCTGTCCTGAGGGATTGATGTTTGCACTTCGACCACTTGGCGTGAACTCCACAATCTGGGAGTCAGCCATGACTCTTTCCCGACCTTCATAGAGAACTCTGCAATGAAATTGTATGTCATGATATGGATTACAATCACTCTCAAGTATCTTTATTCCAACGTCGATGGGCATAGCGTGTACGTACATGCCATGCCCACTGTAAGTTTACTTTATTAATTGCTTTAACACATAGATGGCTACACTTGTACGTAGTCTCCAATAAGTCAATGAAGAGTACTGCTTGTCTCGCCCATTTACCCTTTTCCTTGATTTACAAAAATTCTATTTATTTTAATTTATCTTATTTTGCTGTTACTAATGTTTATAACATCATAGTAATTATAATTTTCATAATAAAAATAACACCATCGATATTCATAGCATTAGCAAATTTTTTTTTTTTTTTTTTTCCTGCCAATTCAAGGAATGGTGAAATTAGGTTAGGTCACAAGGTCTACTCATTGACTCCTTTGTGGCTAAGCATGAACAGAGCCATCTATGAGCACAGACATTTCACAAAAAAAATATAAAAAATGAACACAGCATTTCCCCTGCTTTTTATTAATTTTCCCTGGTGGCATGTGGTTAAGCAATGCATGCATTACATGCCAATCATCATTTAGATGTAACAAGAATTTTGTATTTTTATGAATAAAAGTAAAAGTCAGTCCAATATTGGAACCCCTGACTTATACTATGTGAAACCACTGAACAAGTAACGTACCCGACATCGACAAGAGGTTGTTTGTCTCGCCCTCTTCTGTAGCAGAGAAATATTTCCGAGGCACGGAGAGCTCCATGGTTAACATTGGCGACAAAACCAGTGGGTGTTGTCTCAATACATGTGTATCCTGGAAATGAATGAATGAATGCATGTGTATCTTAGAAAATAATTTAAAAATTTATATGAATCCTGGAAGTTAGTGATGGAATGCAAATAAATCAAAATGATTAATGATTAATGAATCAGGGTGTGCATAAGAATTTCAGGAATGGCAATCACTTACCTCAGCGACAGAGATGGGGATATACTTGTAATAAAGTATACATAATCTAATTTGAATAAATCAATAAATCTTAATGACTTTCAATTCACAAACTACCCAAACTACCACATTTTTCTTCCTAAACAAAGCTTATCTGTGTGGGAAGCTGAAAATGACAGGAAATATCACAAATTCTGCTATCTTATCAGAGCAAACAATAAGCACCTGTCATCCCCCTCCCTCTTCCTCTCCTTATCTCGCACTTACCATCTGGAACGACCTCGCCCAGAGAGCGGTTGATGACGGCAATGTCTGTGATGGGTGGAAGGCTGTGTGTGGACTTGAGAGTTGCGCCGTCGCAGGAAAATTCTCTTAGTGGTGTTGGGTTGGCAGGAAGCCCAGCAACCACAAAGTACTCTGCCACACGCCTCTCTTCCATTCTGAGGGGGATAAAATAGATTCTAGCTTATACTTTACAGACTATGCTACTCAAATTAAAAATCAATATATATGGTACTCCACAGGCAAAATAAGAGAAAAATCTTGTGTAAGATAATGTCTATTGTTATCATCTTAAAACAAAAATTAACATTTACACAACTATTACTTCTTCAGCTTATTCAATAAATAACACAAGGGGAAGGTAAGGGAAAGAGGGAAAAAAAAAGGGGGAAATGAGGTAAGGTTGATGGGAGCAAAGGGGGTAAGAAGGTTTGGCGACAGGATGGAAGAAATGAGAAGAGGGAAGTTTGGGGGGAAAGAGAAAAAGGAATGACAGAGGGAGAGAGGGAGGAAGAAAGAGAAGTGAGAAAGAGAGAAAGAGAGAAAGAGAGAGAGAGAGAGAGAGAGAGAGAGAGAGAGAGAGAGAGAGAGAGAGAGAGAGAGAGAGAGAGAGAGAGTGAAATGAGGATGAGGAAAAGGAGGGGGAGGGCAAGTAAGAGGGGAAAGCAGAAGGGAA